GTGACTTTTTATATACCGTCTAATGTTAATGTTTATACTACAGTCAGTCAGTCAGTCAGATGCAACGTAGAACTTCGTACGTAAGTACATCAGTTCATGTCGCCATACCACATCAGCACAGAGATGTAATTGTCAATTCAAATCCAATAGTAGAAGAGTTAATAAAGGTATTAGAAGTAATCGGAGAGGTTAGGATTAGAAGATATTATTCTAGAAGTGTGATTAAATGAGAAAAGTTTAGAAAGTCAAAACTAGAGGTGTTGAAGAATCCAGAAGATTAGGATTTGAGAGAACACAAAGAATAAATGCACCGGTGCCATTGCGAACGATTTTGAGCCATGTCATTCAGGGTCTCTAACCATCGATTATTATCATCTCGTGGACCCCAACCAGGTAGTCGACAATTACCGACATGGCTAAGTCCACTCGTCAATGACTTCATGGATTTCTGCCATGTTTTGGTCTGACCACCCCTAGCTTTCTTCCAACCTATTCCTACACTGCAAAACATAGCTTGACGAGGCAGTCGGTGGTTAGGCATACGCAGCACATGTTCCAACCACCTCAACTGATGAAGTCTCAACACTGCATCAATTGATCTACCATCCTTGTCTAGTACCTATATCCTAACAACAGCATTGCTTACTCAGTAGTCCCATGATACACAAGCAATGTTTCGAAGACATTTATGATCAAAAACCAGTAACCTACGAATATCTTCTACTCTGACTGACCATGTTTCACAGCCATAAACTAAGACGGAGCGAACTACTGCTCAGTACACTCGTCCTTTAGTCAGCAAACGGATATCTCGCCTACGCCATAAGTGACGCAGGTTGGCAAAAGCCAATCGATCTTTCTGTATCCGAGCTGAGATTTTGTCAGTCACCAGGCCATCGGCACTGATGAGACTCCCCAAATAAGTGAAGCGGTTTAGATTCAATGTTTATACTGCTCAACATGTTGGTAAATGTAGACTACCTGGTTGGCACCCGCAAAATGATAGTAATTGATGGTTAGAGAGAGATGTTGAATGACATGGCTCAAAACCGCTTGCAATGGCGTAGAGGCATCCATTCTTTGTGTTCTCTCAAATCCTAATCTTCTGAATTCCTCATGACCGTTTTTTATTCTTTTTTTAATTGATTCCTCTGGGGTATACATCTCGAATGATATATTCGATCATAAATCCTTTTGATTACTGCTGATACTTTTACTATCTCTACTACTATGGGATTTGAATTGACAATTGCGTCTCTGTGCTAATGTGGTCTGGCAACTTGAACTGATGTACGTACGTACGTACGAAGTTCTACGTTGTAAGTGACTGAATGAATACTGCTCAACTTACTGTCCACGTTTATAATATAGTTCGTAAATACTTCATTGTATAATCCAAAAATGTTAAATTCTGCGAACTGGTTAATTTTAAAGTATACTGTTTCTCGTAATGGATTTATAAAGATTCTATTTGAATTGATAAATTATTTGACTTCAGACTATTAGTTTCTAATGAATTTGAATTGTGGCTGGCAGAGTATAACCTAAGATATGATTTTTATCTTTCCTGAGATTCATTGGTGAGATGTACTTTTATAAATTGTCAGATGATATTCCCTAATTACATAGCTACATCACACTCGAAATAAGAAATTCTAATTAGTACACAATTCAACTATAAATAATGCAGTATTTAAGACAATATGAAATGATCGTTAACTGATTGTGCACAAATAAGTAGTTCACTTTGTGTATATCAGTGGTAAACTACTTCTCACTTTTGTCCGCGAGATGATAATAATCGATGGTTAGAGACCCTGAATAACATGTCTCAAAACCGTTTGCAATGGCACCGGTGCATTCATTCTTTGTGTTCTCTCAAATCCTAATCTTCTGGATTCTTCAACACCTCTAGTTTTGTCTTTCTAAACTTATCTCACTGAATCATACTTCTTGAATAATATCTTCTAATCGTAACCTCTCCGATTACTTCTAATACCTTTACTACCTCTACTACTATTGGATTTGAATTGACAATTATATCTCTGTGCTGATGTGGTATGGCAACATGAACTGATGTACTTACGTACAAAGTTCTACGTTGCATCTGACTGACTGACTGACTTTGTCAAAATATCCACTTTTCTCTCTCTTGATGGCATAATATATTTTTAAAAAAAAAACTCTCCTATATATTTATCCTCTTTACTCCTTGTTTATGATTATTATTATTATTATTTTTATTTCATTTAATTTTTTCTAGATTGAACGTCTTGTTCGTCTGCTAGAAATTTTAGATCGTCATGAATATCATTTAGTTCGTGAACCGAATCCAATGGAATCTTTATATAATCGTATATTCAATGATGATACAATACATGTAGATACAAGTACAATTGTCATGACTTTATGTGAATGGGCTGTATCACCATATCGTATTGGAATTTATCGTTCTATTGTAGTAGCATGTTTATTGGAACAATTGAAGAATACATTTTATGCTGAAAATATTAATACTACTAATAATGTTAGCAGTAGTAGTAGTGGTAATAATAATAAAGATGTATCACAGTCCACAACACCAACTACTGGGAGTAATGGTAGCAGTGGTATTACATCAACAGCTACAACTACGGCAACTACTACTACTAATACTACTACAACTAGTACTACAGCTAATACAACAACCACCACAACTACTACTACTAACATGAAAAATACTACTAACAACAACAATAATAACATGAATCTAATGAGTAGTCAAGCTTATCAATCATTACAAGAAACATTAATTAAATTTCTAGATAATTGTACTACACAATTACCACCATTCAATGGTGAACAATGTTTAATTGAAAATCATTTTATGCGTAATTTAGTTTGTTTATTCTCAGAATTGATTGATCGTGAAGTATTTGATCATGATTATTATGTAAGATATTTTATTGCTCGTGGTGTTTTTGATACAAGTTTACATCCATTAGCTTTGGTAGATAATAATTCTATACAGAGCAAAATGACTACAACTAATCCATTATCGATTAATAGTAATAGTAGTAATAATATTAATATGAATCAATCGGTTCAAACACCGACAAATATAACACGTACTACAACCAATGCGCCTAATATCACTGGATCATCAATGACATGTCATTTACAGACAACAGCTCAACATTCAGTGAAATCAGAATTCTCTGAAGATATGGATCGTTCTAGTATGGATAATCCAGATTCTGTACGTTCTGAATCTGGTATTATTAATTTAATGTCATCATTACAAACTAATAATAATAATAATAATAATAGTCAATGCGTAGCAGCCAATCAACAATCCTCCTCCTCTTGCTGTTCATCATCATTAATCAATAATCCAATGACATCCACTTCACCATATTCCAATCGTCATTTACATTATTTAATACAATTTCCTATACCACAAGATGAAAGTTATGCTCATGAACAAAATCAACGTTTTCAATTATTGTATGGTTCAGTAAGATCAAGAGATCGTGCAAGATATCCTATACGTAAATTAATACGTGATATATGTAAATTATTTACTAAAAAAATTTATTTAATTGATGTATTTCATGGAGAACTTGGTCGACGTAAAAAAAGTAAAGATAGGAGTGAACGAGAAAAAGATACAACAAATGCTAACAGCAATAATAATAATAATAATAATAATAATAATAATGCCAACTCTAATAATAATAATCTTGGAATAACACCTGGACTAGGATCGTTAAGTGGACAGCCAACAACAACAACGACAACAGCTTCCACTGGAACTACTTCAGGCAATAATAGTAATAATGATGAAACACGTTCGATTGATGAAGTTCATGATGATATAACAAAACGTTTTATTAATTTATCATTTTATGATATGGAATATGTATTATCACAATGTACACCAGTATTTGTTAAAATGCTCAATGGTTCCAATTGTCATTCAACTACTAGTACTACTACTACTACTACTACTACTACTACTACTACCACATCAAATGAAGAGAATATTAATAATATTACAAATATTTTATCAACAAATACAAATTCACCCTTGTCTGCATCATCAGCATCGTCATCCACTTTGACTAATACCGCTAATACTACTACTACTACTAATAGCAACAATCAATTATCAATGTCAATGTCCAATGTTCAATCATCACATATTTATATGCCTGTACCAAGTTCAATATTTTTATTTTTTGAATTAATTGAAACATCTCTGAATATTACATCATTAATATTCACTGTAATTGATACATTGGAACGTTTAAAAATTCTATTTGAAAATCGTACACATTTTATGACGCTATATATGTCATCATTATGTCTTCGTACAGTTGGTATATTACAACGTTATCAAAATATTTTATTTACAATGGGTGATTTATCTAGTCGTTTATTTCCTACATTAATTGAACAAGTAAGACAAGTAAAAGAACCAACACAATGTGGACCATTAGAACGTTGTATATTAATTTATTTAAATGATTTATTTACATCGAATATTGTGATAAAAACACGTTTTACACCAATTTATGGTAAAGCCCATCAGAAAGTCAATGCTCTATTACGTCGTATTGATTCTAATGAAAATGGTGCGAAACAATTTGATGCGGATTATGCAAATGATTTATTCACTATTACATCCTCTATGGATAATGTGAATTTATTCCGTCTATATACAGAAGATTTACGTAATAAGCCAGATTCACGGTATAGTTTCGTGTGTAAAGCAATTATATGGATATGTCAAGCTAAAACAATAGAACATGTTAATTATTTATGTAGTCTATGCGTAGAATTAACATCACAATGTAGTGAATTAACACCAGAATGGCTTAGTGCATTCTATGCTATTCTAGCACCACCAAATTCTTATATACATAGTTATTATAGTGCATTGATTAATATTATTGAACCAAGCCAGATATGGATATATGATAATTTAAGTTCATTAATTGGTACATTATTATCTCGATATTGTTTTACTATATCAGATTTTTTACGTTTAGTTATATGTCCAGCAATGGCACAAGGTTTAGATAATGTTAGTCAACCAGTAATCAATACACAATTAGAATCGATTATTTCTTTAGCATGTCATATATTGCATTGTTTATTTACTGCGGAATCAACGATTAGTTCATTACAAACAACAACTACTTCTACTACTAGTAATACTACTAATAATCATAATAGTAGTAATAATGTATTAACACCAAATCCTGATGTGAATTTATCAAATACTACTACTACTACGGATAATTTATCAAATTCCTCACCACCATTTCGTATATCTGAACCATTATTGTTAACTGGTGCATTACAAAAAGTTACATCAGAATTTTTAGTAGATGTTTTAAAAATGCTTATTGTACATAGTGATAAAGCATCAGTTGATCAGCAAAAATTAACGACTACTACTAACAATAATAATAATAGTAGTACAGGATGTTGTTTACAAGAAGAAACTAACGAACAGACAGATACAATTGCCAGACATGATGATGACAATGATAATAATAATAATAATGAAGACAGTGATGGGAATCGTGATGATGATGATGACGCTGGTAATGATGAAGAGCATGATGATGAAAATGATTATCGTGATGGTGGAGGTGGCGGTGGCGGGACACAAGACAATGTTGATGAATTGACAGATATTGATTCTGAAGGAGATGGTTCAACCATAAGACATACAACACGTAAACGTACTCGAACAACCACACAACATCAACAACAACAACAGAAAGGTAACAATAAATCGAAACGATTTAAATCATCTCAACAACACCAACACCAACAACAACAACAACAACAACATCGTCGTCGTTCTAGTCGTCAAACACATCGTAAATCAACTACACATGTACATTATATTGTACAACGATTTCTTGAACAAGATATATTACCAACAACTATGGAATTACGTTCATTACCATTGAATGCATTAATCCAACTAGTATTACGTGAAATTTGTACAGTTACATGGGTACGTGAACGATTTCAACAAATGACACCAAATCAGTTAATACGTGAAAATGTTTTAATTGATAAAAATTTTACACAAAGTCAAGCTAGACGTTTATTACACATTATTTATTGGCCATATGATTTAACATGGATTGATATAGCATCAACCTATGATGGTTTATCTGGTGCAATGTGTCATATTTTATTGCATGATTTAAATATTTGGACATTAAAATGTACACAAATTGAATTTCAATTATTATATGCACAAATATCATTTTCACAACAAACTGAAGTACTTGGTTATTTAGCACAGTCGATTGTACAAGGATTTCAATCACAAATTATTAATTGGCTTGATTTTAATCATAATAATCATAATCATTCGATTATATCTTCAACAACTAATAATACCACTACTAATACTACTACTACTAATACTACTAATAATAGTGTTAGTAGTAATAATAATTATATGAATTTTCAAGAAAATTCTATTGGACATTTAATTGATAATGATTTACCAATTATTGAATTAGATGATAATGATCCAGTATGGTTATTTCCTGCATTAATTACTAAATTGCCAAAATTATTAAAAGCACAAATTGTAAAAGTTACCTCTGAGGTTTGTTTAATAATGCGTCTTTTTTTTTGACTTTGAGAAATATTATTATAATTATTATTATTGTCATTGATTATTGTAAAAGATTTCTGATTTTTACAACTTATTACTCAAACGGTAGTCAGGTTTGTGTATTGCAATGGTAGGTGTTTTACTACGCTGGAGAGATTGTTTGGAGAAAAGTAAGAATAAAAGCAACCAATTCATGTGTCCAGTCAGTCAGTCAGTCAGTCAGATGCAACGTAGAACTTCGTACGTAAGTACATCAGTTCATGTTGCCATACCACATCAGCACAGAGATATAATTGTCAATTCAAATCTAATAGTAGAAGAGGTAGTAAAGGTATTAGAAGTAATCGGAGAGGTTAGGATTAGAAGATATTATTCAAGAAGTATGATTCAGTGAGATAAGTTAAGAAAGTCAAAACTTGAGGTGTTGAAGAACCCAGAAGATTAGGATTTGAGAGAGCACAAAGCATAAATGCACCGGTGCCATTGCGAACGGTTTTGAGACATGTCATTCAGGGTCTCTAACCATCGATTATTATCATCTCGCGGACCCCAACCAGGTAGTCGACAATTACCGACATGCTCAGTCCAGTTGTCAATGACTTCATGGATTTCTGATATGTTTTGGTTTGGCCGCCCCTAGCTTTCTTCCAACCTATTCCTACACTACAAAACAAAGCACGTCGAGGCAGTGGGTGGTTGGGCATACGCAGCACATGTCCCGACCACCTCAACTGATGAAGTTTCATTACTTCGTCTATTGATCTGCCATTCTTACCTAGTACCCGTTTCCTAATAGCAGCGTTGCTCACTCGGGTGTCCGAGGATATACGAGCAATGCTTCGAAGACACCTATGATCAAAAACCAGTAACCTGCGAATATCTTCTACTCTCACTAGCCATGTTTCACAGCCATAAAGTAAGACGGAGCGAACTACTGCACAGTACACTCGTCCTTTAGTCAGCAAACGGATATCTCGCCTTCGCCATAAGTGACGCATGTTGGCAAAAGCCAATCGAGCCTTCTGTATCTATTCTGAGATTTCGTCAGTCACCAGGCCATCGGCACTGATGAGACTCCCAAGATAAGTGAAGCGGTCAGCACATTCGACTACTTCACTCCCTATCCCTAGTTCAGGTGCCGATGAAACCCAATCTTGAAGCAACATTTCGCATTTCGAGGGTGAAAACCGCATCCCTAACATGCGTGCATTGTTGCTTAGGGTGGTCAGAAGACTCTGCATTTTGTCAGCGTCTTCACCAATTAGGACAATGTTATCGGATTCATGTGTCCAAGGGTGAACTCGTACTATTGATTGTACTAAAGTATGACAACAGTAGGATGTTTTCTTCAGGCAATTAGCACCTGTTTTTTAACGAAAGGAAAATGTTATGAATGAACTTTTTGGTTTTAGTGTGACAGAGTGACACAATGACTTGAAGAACAGATATTATATCTTGTTTAACCTACATTTAGTTTTCTTTCGGGTTACTATGAAATGAATACTATTATAGAACGTTGAGATAAGCAAATAATTACGCATACTTACTTACTTCTGAGCATAGGCCACTGACTAGCATTCCCCAACCTAATCTGTCCTGAGCTTCCCTTTCAGGTTCTGTTCAATTATTGTTCATTCTTCTCATGTCTGTCTCCATTTCTTGGCGTAATGTGTTCTTTGCTAGGTGTATGTAGATTTATAGGGTAACTCAATCAATAAAGCCATCTAGCTTCATTGACTGTAGTATCTGGAAAATCTGTCGTACATAGGTGTTTGTATTAAAGTCGATTGAAAGAAAGATAGAGTTTAAAGGACTAAGATATTATTATTGCTCTATGCAGTCATTGGCTATCGGCCTAAATCATTTGTGAAAATGATAATAATCGTATTGGTGTAGATCACTTCGTTTTTTTTTTCACGTAAATTTCCATTTTTAGTAATAATGGTTGAAGTTTTCTGTCACTATTGTGTTGATTAAGTTGGCGAGGTTTTAAGAAGATTGATTCTGATTTACAGGGTACATTTGTTACCAATTGATCTCAGTTGTAATATTATTGAAAATCAGAGAGCATTGGATATATGTTTCACCCTAGTATAGGACTGTGTAACAGTGCATACCAATGACCCTACCATGGAGCGGACTCACGACCACAAGGTATCACAGTGACAGCGTAATAATTAAAACCGTTAGATCGTTACCTAATGGGTACCACCATCTCAATTGTAACCAACTAACGATACTGTACGGTGATCACCTGTTTCACTTCAAACATATCTGAACTCCTTCACATAGATTCTATTCCTGTTGAGTTGTGAGTATACATTATTTAAGAGTTCTATAATAGGGTGAAAAATGTGCTAATTCCTCTTTGGTTTTTCAATGATATATGTTAACATATTTTCAAATTATATTTCAAACTACTTTAATTGATAATAGTAGTATATTCCCATTAACATTTAATTTTATCACTGTTCTAATGACATAGTCGACAATAAATCCGAAACAACACTATCATTGTTTATTTGTTTATTATTTTCTTTCACATAAAGGTTATTTATCGATAGTTGACATTATAGAAAACTTAAGTAGATCCCTGTGTTAGACACATTGATCCCCTTGTTGTCACATCTATAAATCTATCAATATATTATCTGGTAAATAGCATATATATATATATATATATGTGCAGTTGGATATTGCCTCTTTTGTATAGCGGCTAGATGACACATTGTTTATGTCCACTTAAGAAAACTTGTTTGTTTGTTGTGGTTTGTTTGATGTGGTGTCATTTGTTCTCTTTTGTGTGTAATATGTTGTTTTGTTTTCATGACACTATATTATAATCTAGTTATCAGATAGATAGAGGAGATGATTATAATTTTTGGGTTATTTTTTTTAAGAAAAAATTTGTTATTACTTCACAACTTTTTTTTTCTTTTTGAAAAAAAAATTTACTTTGAATAAAAAAGTTTATTAACTTTGTTTAATTATTTTCAAGCTAATGATAGTTTCTATTTGTTGGAGGAAGATCTACGATTAGTCAGTCATCTTAGTTTTGAACTAAAATTGATATCATTGTATGTGTGAAAGAAGAAAATACAAGTGTTTTTTTTTAAAAAAAAGTTTTTACAAGGTTCTTTTGGTTCAAAAAAATGATAGGATAATTTGGCATATACTGTGTAGTTTTGAATAAATCTATGTGAATGTTAGTTAGTCGGTTACTACTTAGAACTTTGTACGTACGTACGTACATCAGTTCGAGTTGTCGTACTACATTAGCACACAGAGTCAATTGTCAATTTAAACCCCATAGTAGTAGAGATAGTAGAAATGTTAGCAGTAATCAAAAGGATTAATGATCGAATATATCATTCGAAATGTATACCCCAGAGGATTCAGTAAAATAAAGAGAAAAAGTGGTCGTGAGAGATTCCGTAGATTAAGATTTGAGACAACCGAACGAGTGGATGTACGTGCGCCATTCCAAACGATTTTGAGCCATGTCATTCAAGATCTCTAACTATCGATTACTATCATCTCACGGGTCCCAACCAAGGTAGTCGGCACATACCAACATGTCTCAGTCCACTTGTCAGTGACTTCATGGATTTCTGTCATGTTTTGGTTCGGCCGCCCCTAGCTTTCTTTCAACCTATTCCTACATCGCTAAATATAACTCGACGAGGCAATCAGTGGTTAGGCATACGTACCTCATGTCCTAACCACCTCAACTGATGAAGTTTCAATACTTCATCTATTGATCTGCCATCCTTACCTAGAACTCGTTTCCTAACGACAGCATTGCTTACTCGGTTGTCCCACGATATACGAGCAATGCTTCGAAGACATCTATGATCGAATACTAGTAACCTACGAACATCTTCTACTCTTAACAGCCAAGTCTCGCATCCATATAGGAGAACGAATCGCACTGCTGCACAGTACACTCGTCCTTTGGTTAGCGAACGGATATCTCACCTACGCCATAAACGGCGTAAATTGACAAAAGCCAATCGAGCTTTCTGTATCCGCGTTGAGATTTCATCAGTCACCAGGCTATCAGCACTGATCAGACCCCCCAGATAAGTGAAGCGATCAACGCGCTCGACTATTTCACTCCCTATCACTAACTAGTTCAGGTGTCGATACAATGTTGTTGGTACAGAAGAAAAACAACGACAGATCCATAACATTATTTCATTCATTTCCATTATCAATCCCACGCTAAAAAAACAAAAAAAATTTGAAACCTGATATTTCATCATCAATAAATAAATAATCCTTCCATTTTTTTATCTCTGTTTCTCTCTCCTCTTTCTTTTATTTTTTTTTCACAAACCTATTTTTTTTTTAGATATTAAAAGGTATTAAACATTTTTGGAAACATAAAAATGATGAAGATAAAGAGAGTGTATTATTACAAAATTCTATTTTATTAACACATCCAACATTTTTATCATTACTACAAGTCTGTTTACCAGATGCAGATTTTCTTATTGATTCATTATATGAACAAATTGAATATTTCATCCTAAATGCACGTAATATTGCTGATCGTGTACCGGATAATTTACGTACACGTCAAATTGTACAACAATGTTTAAAGTATCGTTTAATTTTAATTGGACAAAAATTTCAATCTATTCAATCCGACACAGATATTTGTTCACGTTGGGCTATTTTATTAGCACAATTAATTAGTCATGGTGTTACAGAACCCGAGTCAAATTCATCTTTATTTTTTATGGTTTATGATATGTTACAAATATTAATACATACATTAGCAGCACGTTCTGGTATTGAAGGAAAACATTATCAATCTGTGGCAAAAAAAATACGTCGTGAATTATCTGAACGTCCACCTTGTTCTGGTATTGAATATTTACGTCCATTGTTATTACTTACTAAAGGTTCATTGACAGTTTTTGTCACTGGACGTCAATCACGTGTTGGATCACGTGGTGGTTCATCGAATATCAGTGGAGGATCACTTGGTACAGGGGGTGGTGGTGGTGGTTTAGGTACTGGAGGTGCTGGAGGAGGTGGTAGTGGTGGACCGGGTGGTGTTGGTTCCGGAGGCGGTAATAGTAGCAATAAATCAAGTCATTCTAAAGGTTCTGGTAAAGCTGGGAATAGTTTACTATTATCCGGTGGATCACGATTTCTCAATTCATCATCTAATTCTATGCATCATCAAGGTGGTAGTGGTGGTGTTGGTCTTGGCAATGGTGGTCAACTTAAAAAACCTGGTTATCAACTATTAGGCAAAGAACGTTTCAATCCATGGGAAATTTATGATCCAAGTAAACAACCTTTGTTATTATCAATTCATGGTGCAGTAAATACTGAATCTGTATTGTCACGTATTGAAGAACAAGCAAATCGTTTAATACGTCATGATCATTTTCATCGAATGTCTCGTCCACCGGAATTTTATATGGTTCCTATTTATCCACCAACTGTTGATGAAGATCAACCAGTGAATAATCGTAAACAATGTGATATTAGAGAAAATGAAAATGTTAATATTATGATTAATAAAACGATAAAAACTGAAAATCCTAATATTAATAATAATAATAATATTGATGGTATGAATAATGTGATTACTAATAATTCTATAAGTAGTAGTTTATTCAAAAAAGATCATGATATCAATGATTGTGTGGATATAATGAGAGAGTCACAATTGTTATCATTGAATGATATGATACAAATTTCTGAGACAAATTTATCCGATTGTTCCAATCAATTTTTACCAATCAATAGTAATAATAATAATAATCATAATAATACCGTTATTAATAATATAAATATTAGAAATAATGATCTTAATAGTAATTATCATCATCAATCTACCAATATCCTATCATCATATGATCAAAAGCATAATATTTCATCGGTTTCCTATCATCCTACAAGCAATTTAATGTTTACTGAATCGAATCCCACGATGAAATCTGTTCATCAAATTGATCGTGCTAATAATCCTAATATGATGATGTCCATGATGATGATGATGACAACGACAGCGGCGGCCGCGGCAGCTTCGGCGACATCTTCTGTGTCAACAACGAATACGGCAATTAACAGTAGTAACAGTAGTGGTAATAATAATAATAATAACAGTAGTAGTAGTAGTATACAACTTGGACATGGGAAATTGATGAATGCTAGAAATGATTGTGTTGAAATCAATGATACATCATTATCAATGAATAATCATATGAATACTTTTCAACAACCATCATCTTCTGTATCGTTAGGAGTAGGAGGCGTAGGCGGAGCAGGCGGAGGTGGAAATGTTTGCAGCGGCGGTGTTCCATCTTCATCCGCTTCATTTCAAATGCATTCACATGCACAACAAATTCATGCTGGTGGACATCATCATCATCAACAACAACAGATACTTTTAAATTCAAATCAACCATCATATACTACTACTATTACTACTGGTACTAGTAGTAATAGTAGTAGTAGTACTAGTTCAACACGTAAACTACCATCTCAACAAACTAGTATAAATGATTATTCTAATTTAAATGAATTCGATCGACGATCTATGCATAATGTTATAAATCATGGAATAACTATACCAGGACAAATGAATACAATCACTTATCCTCCTCCTCCTAGTAGTCATCAACATCAACATCCACATTCTCATAATCAACAAATAGATAGTAATTTGCATAAAACTAATAAATCATTAGGTATAGATTATAATGATCGATTGATTGGATCTCAATCGTTAACACAATCATCATCATTATCTCAACAACAGATTCAAATGAATCCAACAGGTGTACCACCGTCTATAGCGCCACCTCCTTCGAATAATATTCCTATGCTATCGACACCAATGAATAACAATGTTGTTACAGGTCATGTGATGACATCATCAGCGAAAACAACAACAACTAAACGTAAACGTGGATCTGGACGTCGTGGTGGCGGTAGTGGTAGTGGTAATAATGTCACTGATCGAAATTCTGTACGTTCCACTAATAATGCAACTAGTACTCGTGGTGGTATACATCCAACTGGTCCAACGAATGTTGTTGGCTATGAACGAATGAATAGTAATAATAATAATAATAATGTATACTCTTATAATGTTATCAATGCAGAACAACCAATCAATGAATCCAATCATCAGTGGACCAGTAAACAAAATGTTTATAACATGAATGTACTTGAAATGCAACAACAACATCCACAACCACAGCAACAATCGTCGTCATCATCCACTCGTGGACATCATCATCAACAACAACATTTAGCTAATCTGAGCGGTTTCTTACGTAATCGTGCTCAACAACACCATCAACAACAACAACAACAGCAGCAGCAACAACAACATCATCACCCGGAACAATCATCGTATGGATCAACAAGTTTCAATGAAACTATCCCTGTTGTTTTACCGCCACATCAAGGTCATGTATTTGACCAATCACAATTGAATAATCAATTTAATCAATCCAATACTCATTTGATTGATAATAATACATCAGGTTCATTAAGACGACATTTAACAAGTACAAATAGTAATAGTGGTGGTGGTAACCTGCCTCGATCTATGATACAACAATCTCATCAATTGTTGAATCATCCTACTACTACTACTGCAACTACCAGTGAATCATCTCAACATATGCCATCGGGTATGCCAAATCCACCACCTTATCCTATCAATAATAATAATCATCCATCATCTCAACAATATTCTCTACGTATTCATCCTTCTTCTTCTTCATCGGCGGCGGATGAAGTTGTTAATCCTTATATGATGATGATGATGATGAATGTGAATGAATCGAATGTTGATGAACAATTTAAAAGACAATCAACCAATACTGTCATGAATCATCCAATACATCCATCAGCATCAGGAACACCAGCACCAGCACCAACTATTATGTCACGTTCATCGACAGTTTATCATCCATCTCAAGTCAACCATCATCATCATCATCATATACCACCAACGGATATTCAATCACAACAACATCAACAACACCAACAACAGCAGCATTTATCTTATATACCTTCACAAATGGATACACAATTAAATCAATCTAGATTAATGCATTCACGTGTTATGAATCAATCTCAACAGCAACAACAACACCTTCACCAACAACAATCTCAATCTGGTCAAATGATTATTCGATCAGATCAAATACCACCTCCAACAACAGCAACACCAATAATGAATACTGGTAATAACAATAATAATAATACTCAACAACCTCATCTAGCCAATAATAATATACCACATTCTTCACATTCACGTTATACTCCTGGTGGTTATTAAATTAAATACTCTTTATTCTCTAAATTATATACAGTCTGTACTTTTTTTTTTTTAATTATCTGTGATTCATTTCTATGACTGACTCTGTCTGTCTGTATGTCTATCTATTTTTTTTGTGTGTGTACAGTAGTATAGACATAATGAATAACATTGATGTACAGAAGAAAAAAAAATCGATAATGATTCAGTCCTCATGTGTTTCGCTTAAAGCTTTGTAAAGAAATTATTAAACAAGAATTAGGTTGTTTTTTTTTTAATTTTGACTATTTCATCCTATATTGTCTATTGATTAATTATTGATTATTGACAAAAAAAGTTCATGCACAAATAAGGCTTCTTAGTTTTTTATGTGAATGTACTTTTTAATAGTGTTTAACTATGACATTGGAATAGAAAAATCGTTCATGTGCTTTTTTCTTGAAAAAGTAGTTTTTTTTCTAAAAAAAAATCTTAAACGAAATAGAATTTTATATGCATTGATGTAGAAGACAGTTTAAATAATGAATCTTATGTGATTAAACAAGGAGAAGTAAGGGAAAAAAAGGTTTAAATGATAAAAGATCAACTTTTGTTTATATAGAAACAATTACAACTTTTAGATTTAATAAAATTTACCAAAGTACGACTGAAAATAACATATCAGTCAGTCAGATGTGACGTAGAACTTCGTACGCAAGTACATCAGTTCATTTTGCCATACCACATCAGCACAGAGATGTAATTGTCAATTCAAATCCAATAGAAGTAGTAGAGGTAGTAAAGGTGTTGGAAATAATCGGAGAGATTAGGATTAGAAGATATTATTCAAAAAGTATGATTCAGTGTGATAAATTAAGAAAGTCAAAACTAGAGGTTTTGAAGAATCCAGAAGATTAGGATTTGAGAGAACATAGAGAATAAATGCACTGGCGCCATTGCGAACGATTTTGAGCCATGTCATTCAAGGTCTCTAACCATCGATTATTATCATCTCGCGGACCCCAACCAGGTAGTCGACAACTACCGACATGACTTGTAAATGACTTCATGGATTTCTGCCATGACATATCGGATTATCATGAATGAATTATTTTTAGACTGCCATTAGGAACCTGAAAGTATTGGGCGGCTGGACCCAACAGGACCACATCACCATCAACCACCGAAAGACGGATTTGACAGAGGACTGTCGCTCGTTCTGGGGCATATGTTTAAATTCAGATCATGCTCTAATACGAGCGCGTATTTGTTTGCGACTTACTGGATGTAGGAAAGGCCACCGCAAGAAAACCTATCAGGGTTCTACTTAATGGTAGCGTAGCTAAGAGTATATTTTAGGAGCAACTAGAAAACCACTACTGGACGGCAGTATCATCCTGGCATGGGGTTCACCAGCAGTGCGCATGCAAGACTCCTGCTAATTCGCTGGAATCGAACCCCTTTGGTCCTGCATGTGAACGTCTGACCTCTGGAGCGCTGAGCTTGAATTACTACGAGTTTACCTTAGTCGGAAAAACGAGAGCGAGGATCCAGCGACATGACAGGCTACTCTAATCCCATTGTCCTAAACCCCCATTGAGTAAAAGAAGGAGACTTGAGATGAAGTAGAACATGTATTCTAGAAGCATCCAGAAAGTACGAGGTCTAAGTACAGAAGAAGGCAAGGATCCTGGACTGAGGGTCCGGGTCATAAGACGTTACAGATAATGCGTATTTTCACATTTAGGTCGAATAGGAAACAGCATCGAAGTCTGTGACATTGACAGTTAAAGTGACCAATAGGAAAAGGATTTGAAGAGACATTGATAGTCAGGACGACCAATGGGAAACAGCACTGAAGTACGTGACATTGACGGCTAGGACGATCATAATATTGACCAATAGGAATCGACCAAAAGAATTTACACTTACAAAATGATTCTTGGTAGGTTATTTGGTGAATATCCTAAATCCACTAATGGAGGATAGGCCACCATCAATCAGCACTCTCTAACCTACTCTGTCTTGGGCTTTCTTTTCCAGTTCTATCAAACTGCTGTTCATCTTCATGTCTACTTCCAATTTTCGGTGTAATGTGTTATTTGATCTTTTTCTTGTCCTTCGGCCTTGAGGATTCCAAGTTAGGGTTTACTTCGTGATGCAGTTGGGTGCGTTCCGCAATGTGTGTCCTATCCACTTCCAACGCTTCTTCCTGGTTTCCTCCTCTTCTGAAATCTGGTTTGTTATCTCCCACAGTAGGTTGTTGCAGATGGTGTCCGGTCAACGGATCCCGAGTATCTCGCGTAGACAACTGTCAATGAACGTTTGTATCTTCTGGATGATGACCTTCATGGTTCTCCAAGTTTCCGCCTTATACAGTAGAACTGTCTTGACGAATGTATTGAAAGTTGTGACTTTGGTAATTGGCAATGGATGTTCTGAGTTGCAGATGTTCTTCAATTGTAGAAATGCTGCCCTTAAATAAAATTAGTAAATAAACAGAAACTCATTTCAACTGTTCCCCTGTCCATCTTGTTAACTTTATCTGATTATGCTGATATGGAAATAATAACTGCTGACATATTTGTTTTTGGATGTGTATTGATTAATGATGACTAATTAAATCCATAGATTATCAGAATTAAGTGTTTTCTTACATAGAATACAACTTAAACACTGTTTGATTAAACGTTCAGTAGTATTTTTAACAGTATTTCCAAAACGGGATGACTTGAATACCTTGAGTGCACTAGATTTCTTTTATATGATTCAAAACCATTCATCTTTGGTGTTAAGGTCGTCACTAGGTACGCTTGAAGCTATTACGAGTTCACCTTAGTTGATAAACGCGAACGAGACAATAACCCAGTGTCCAGGTAGGCTAACTTGATCCCCAAACTGCAAAAGAGAAGTTTTGACAAGCGTAGGAAGTATATTCTACAACACCCAGCAAACACAATACAATCAAGCACACAACTCTCGTTTATTTATACATCATAGAAACGTCCTTGGAACAGTCACAAAAATAGCACAACACTAAAATACACAGCGACCAATCACAGCCAAGGATTCTCCTAGTAGGAAATGAAATCTCAATGTCAACTGATTAGCCTATGCTCGCAAACGTGAAATCCAAAATAAGGCATTTATTAAGCGAGTTCTGGGGATCTAACTTCCCCAACATTTGGCTTTTCTTTTCACCCAATCTATATGATGATTAAGGTCATCTAATTATTCTATGTGTTTCTAATGCTAATTTGACAGTGATTGATTCATGATTTGAATAATAGACAGCGATCTCCATAACTGTGTGATGAAAGATTGTTTTTTTACCAAAAGAAGGGTCATGATATAATTTGTAGTGTGTATGCCGGACCACAAGGCTTGTCCCAGCCTATGGACAAATTAATTAACCTTTTCTGCCAAAGACATTATTCACTTGTCTTGTGACCTTGTCAATTATTGGTTTTTAGTCTTGATTGCTATTATTTGAGTGTGTGTGTGCGTGTCGCTTACTTCGCTATCATATGTCTAGCTAACTATTGCCCGACTATAAATACTTAGTCATGCTTCATCTAACTGAGTTTAGCTTGATTCGCTTTGCGGTCGTAGGCTTTTCGTCCTCATGCCTTTGCATGAACGATTGCCTGAAATTAGTTCATCAAACCTAATCCGTATTTGGCTTCTAATTACCGCCACTACAGAAACGGGGTTTACATAAGTAGGCCAAAGAGAAAGTTAAGGGGAGATTTATTTTATAGCATATTTCATTATACATAAATATCGAAGTCAGACAGCTGGTCAAGTAAAATGTTCAGCTCAGTTTCGAATTCAACGCAACCACTAAATGTATATCATCTAATGTTAATTTTTTTAAAATTAATCAATACGTAAAAATGAATAACTTAATACGGATAATAGCTTACCATTTATTTCACAGCTTACTTCAAGATGATTTAGAAAGTCAAGGTACAACAAGACGAAGCACAAGGGTATCGAGTAAAATAGGCTAGTCCATTTTTGATGCTAAAATCTTTCATTAATTGGAGGGAATAGGACATATTTATGCCTGACTATTTATCGGCCGATTGGGGACAGCATTTCTGCAATTGTAGAATGTCTACATTTCAAAACATCCATCGACTATTACCAAAGTCACAATTTTCAATACAAATGTCAAGAGAGTTCTATCGTATAAGGCGGAAACTTGGAGAATCACGAAAGCCATCCTACACAAGATACAAGCGTTTATGAAAAGTTGTTTATGCAAGATACTCTCAACCCATTGGCCAGACACTATCAGCGACAACCTACTGTTGGATAGAACAAACCAGATTCCAGCAGAGGAAGAAGGTAAGGAAAAGTTCTGGAGGTGGACAGAACACATATTACACTAAATCACGTCACAAGGCAAGGCCTAACTTGTCTGTGATAGTGTTCATAACACAGTAAGTCGAAAGAAAACTAAAAGTAAGTTAATTAAAACACAATATCTGTTCATCAAGTCAATGTGTGTGGGTATAATCAATGATGGAACGGAAAAACGTTTTGATTGGTGTTAACGTAATATTCATAATTATTAGTTGAATGAATTTATGTGAAATAGATATACACTGAAGCACTTATATCCATTATCTTTTCTCTCGTCGATGTTCAAATATTGATTTTTTTTCTACTAGCTTTAGTTTAAATGTATACGTTACTCTATGTATCACTCATGAAATTAGTATTCAAATGTCAATTAAGTGAGTAAAAGATGAAACTATTAACAAACTTATCAAAAATGTATGAAATAGAACTAGTAAGCATAGTACATATGTAATTGTTACGCCTGCACGTAAACACGTCATCCTGATATGCTTGAACTATTACGAGTTTACCTAGTCGGAAAACGAGAGCAAGGATCCGGCCACACGACATGCTACTCAAATCCGATTATGCCAACCTCCATATTTAGTAAAATAAGATGACGTGATATGAAGTAGAACGTGTATTCTACAAGCATCCAGAAATTACGAGGTCCGAATCCAGAACAGAATCAG